TTAGTGTCAACTTTGTCGCCACTAAAAGATTAAATTGTCGCCACTTAAAGACTGTACTAGTGTCAACTTTTGTCACCATTAAAAGATTAATAAGGGGCCTGTAAATTCGGAAATAAGCGTTAAAAATGGTATGAGTATGCGTGGTGATTCACCAACTCATTACAGAGGTCCTCATAAAAAAATTTCAGAAAAATATTTTGGGTGCTCCGGGCCCACAGATTCATTGCCTAATACACACGAATAATCGAGAAATTTGCATAAATCCTAAAGATGGCCTATAAATGGGGAAATAGATGTTAAAAAAATGGTGTAGGTATACGTAGTGATTCTCCAACTCATTACGGAAGTCTTTATAAAAAAATTTAGAATTTTTTTTTAAGTGCTCTAATGCGCCAGATCCATGGGCTTTATACACACGAAAAATTGAGAATTTTGCATTATTCCTGAAAAAGGATCTATAAATACGGATATATACGTTAAAAATTGTGTGAGTATACGTGGTGGTTCCGCAACTCATTACAGAGTTTCTCCCAAAGTTTTTTTTTAAAAAAAATTGGGTGCTCCGAGGCGCCAGATCAATAGGCTTATACACATAAAAAAATCAAGAAATTTACGTAATTCCTAAAAATGAACTTGTAAATATGTAATCAGGCGTTAAAAAAATGGTGTGAATATACGTGAGTGTTCCCAACTCAATACAGACGTGCTCATAAAAATTTTTAAGAAAAAAGGTTTGGATGCTCCAAGGCAAAATCCTTGGGCTAATACACATGAAAAAAATGAATATCACGTAATTTCTAAAAGTTGGCTTGTAATTGCAAAAACATGCCTGAAAGAAATGGTGAGATTGTACGTAACGCTTCCTCCACTCATTAAAGAGGTCCTTATGAAGATTTTTCAAAAATAAAATTTGGGTGCTCTGATGCGTATGATCCATGGACTAATATACACAAAAAATAAAAAAAAGTCGCGTAATTTCTAAAAGTTTGATTCAAATGTGAAAATATGCCTAAAAATGGTAGGATTGTACGTAACGCTTCCCCATGTCATTACGGAGGTTCACATAAAGCTTTTTGCAAAAAAAATTATTGAGTGTTCTTAGACGCCAGATTAATGGGCTAATACATATGAAAAAGCAAGAAAGTCACCTAATTTCTAAAAGTTGACTTCTAAATACGAAAATATGCCTAAAAAAAATAGTAGGACTGTACGTAATGCTTCCTCAACTCATTATTGAGGTCCATATGAAGATTTTTCAAAAAAAAATTGGGTTCTCCGAGGCGCTTGATCCATAGACTAATACACACAAAAGATAAAAAAAGTCGCATAATTCCTAAAAATTAGCTTGTAAATGCAACAATATGCCTGAAAAAAGGTGGGACTATGCGTAACACTTACCCAACTCATTAAAAAGGTTTTCATATAGTTTTTTTCTAAAAAAAATTGGGTGCTACGAGGCACCAAATTCATAAGCTAATACATATGAAAAATTATGGAATTCGCGTAATTCCAAAAGTAAGCCTGTAAATGTGGAAATAGGCGTTAAAAATTGTGTGAGTATACATGGTGGTTTCTCAATTCATTACGGAGGGCCTCATAAAGTCTTTTCAGAAAATATTTTGGGTGCTCTGAGGCGCCATAACAATGGTCTAATACACACGAAAAATTAATTTTTTTGCGTAATTCCTGAAAAAGGGCATGTAAATGTGGAAATAGACGTTAAAAAGGTGTGAGTATACGTGGTGGTTCCCCAACTCATTACGGAGATCTTCATAAAGTTTTTTCAGAATTAATTTTGGGTGCTCCGAGACGCCTGATCCATGGGCTAATACATACAAAAAATCAAAGAATTTACGTAATTCCTAAAAAGGGCTTGTAAATGCGAAAATAGACGTTAAAAATGGTGTGAGTGTACGTGGTGGTTCTCTAACTCATTACAGAAGTTCTCATAAAGTTTTTTCACATAGAAATTTGGGTGTTCTAAGGAGCCAAATCCATGCGCTAATACACACGACAAGATCGATGATTTTGCGTAAAACCTAAAAAAAGGCATGTAAATGCAAAAAATAGGCGTTAAAAATTGGTTTAAGTATATGTGGTGATTCACTCACTCATTACGGAAGTTCTCATAAAGATTTTTCAGAAAAAAAATTTGAGTGCTCCTAGGCGCTTGATCCATGGGCACACGGAAAATTGAGGAATTTGTATAATTTCTAAAAAGGCCTGTAAACGAAAATAAACGATAAATAAATTATGCGTGTATACGTGGTGGTTCCCCAACTAATTATAGAGGCACTCAAAGTTTTTCGGATAAAATTTTGGGTTCTTTGAGGCGCCTGATCCATGGGCTAATACACACATAAAAATTAAGGAATTCGCGTCATTCCTAAAAAAAGATTTGTAAATGTGGAAATAAGCGTTAAAAATGGTGTGAGTATTCGTGGTGGTTACCCAACTCATTACGGAAGTCTTCATAAAGTTTTTTCAGGAAAAAAAATTGGGTGCTCCGAGACGGCAGATCCATAGGCTAATACACACAAAAAATTGAGAAATTTGCGTAATTCCTAAAAAAGGGCATGTACATGCGAAAATAAACATTAAAAATGATGTAAGCACATGTGGTGGTTCCCCAACTCATTACAGAGGTCCTCATAAAGGTTTTCAAGAAAAAAATTGGGTACTCTGAGTCGCCACATCCATGGGCTAATACATACGAAAAATTGAGAAATTTGCGTAATTCAAAAAAATGGGCTTGTAAATGCGGTAATAGGCGTTAAAAAAGGTGTAAGTATACGTGGTGGTTCCTCAACTCATTACAGATGTCCTCATGATAAAATTTAAGAAAAAAATATTTGGTTCTTTGAGGCGCAAGATCCATGGGTTAATACATATAAAAAATAGAAGATTTGCGTAATTCCTAAAAAAGAGTCTGTAAATGCGGAAATAAGCATTAAAAATAATGTTAGTATACGCGGTGGTTTCCAAACTCATTATAGAGGTCCTCATAAAGTTATTTCAGAAAAAAAATTTGGGTGCTCCGAGGCTCCAGATCCATGGGCTAATACACACGAAAAATCAAGAAATTTGTGTAATTTCTAAAAAGGGCCTGTAAATGCATAAATAGACGTTAAAAATGGTGTAAGTATACATAGTGGTTCTCCAACTCAGTACAGAGGATCTCATAAAGTTTATTTCAGCAAATAATTTTGGGTGCTCCGAGGCACTAGATCCATGGGCTAATTAATACACATGAAAAATAAAAAAAATTGCGTAATTCCTAAAAAAGGGCTTGTGAGTGTGAAAATAGGCGTTGAAAAAAGAGAGGTGAGTATACGTGGTGGTTCCCCAACTCATTACGGAGGTCCTCATAAAGTTTTTTTAAGAAAAAATAAGGGTGCTCCGAGGCGCTTGATCCATGAACTAATACACACGAAAAATCAAAGAATTTGCAAAATTCCTAAAAAAGGGTCTATAAATGCATAAATGGACGTTAAAAATGGTGTAAGTATATATTGTTCCCTAACTCATTACGAAGATCCTCATAAAGTTTATTCAGAAAATAATTTTTGGTGCTACAAGACACCAAATCTATGAGCTAATACACACGAAAAATCGAGGAATTTGAGTAATTTTTTAAAAATGACCTGTAAATGCGGAAATAGACATTAATAAAATGGTGTAAGTATACGTGGTGGTTTTCCAACTCATTACAAAGGTCCTCATAAAGTTTTTTTCACAAAAATTATTGGGTGTTCCAAGGCGCCAAATCCATGGGCTAATACACACAAAAAAAATCGAGGATTTGTGTAATTCCTAAAAAGGGGCTTGTAAATGCGGAAATAGGCATTAAAAATAGTGGGACTATATGTAACACTTCCCCAACTCATTACGGAGGTCCTCATAAAGTTTTTTGAGAATTTTTTTTGGATGCTTTGAGGCGCCAGATCCATGGGCTAATACACACGAAAAAAATAAGAAAGTCACATAATTCGTAAAAATTGGCTTGTAAATGTGAAAATATGCTTGAAAAAAATGGTGAGACTGTACGTAATGTTTCCCTAACTCATTACAGAGGTTCTCATAAAGTTTTTTCAAAAAATTTTTTTGGGTGCTTTGAGGCGATAGATTAATGGGCTAACACACGAAAAACCAAGAAAGTCGTCTAATTCCTAAAAGTTGACTTTTAAATGCAAAAATATGCCTAAAAAAATGGTTGGATGGTACGTAATGCTTTCTCAACTTATTATAGAGGTCCTCATAAAGTTTTTTTTAGAAATAAAATTTGGATACTCCAAGGTGCCAGATCCATAAGCTAATACACACGAAAAATTGAAGAAATTGTTTACTTCCCATAAAATGGCTCCTAAATGTTTTAAAATGCCGCAGATCATGGTGAAGCTATACATACTACTCACCTAACTCCTTATAGAGGGACTCGTAAAACTTTTTCAAAAAAGAAATCGTCCAAAACCATTTAACTAAATATTCATGAGTTAACACACACGAAAGTTTCTTAAAATCGCCTATTTCCCTATTTTAAAAAAATGAAGATTTGAAATTTGTAGTCGTACCTTCCATATCATTTGTGTGGTTATAAGACTTTCAAAAAATTTAGTCTCAAAAATACTTAAACCGTTTAACGTTTGTATGATTATAAAAACTTCTCATTAAAGATAACACTTCATTCTTTTATTTTTTTACCTAATGTGCAGTGTGCAGCTGTGTCAATAATACACACAAAATGAAACATAGCAACCTCTCAATCATTCATGTAAAAGAAATATACAATTCATGTCTACAAGATGAATTTGACTTCCAAATCTAACTATGATTCTTGGTTATTTCTCTCTATACAACTTTATTTTCCAACACTATTGTAAATCATCAGAACTATTCATCTATACAACTCTGAATCTCCAATACTATCGTCAACTACAATCAGAAGAGGCTACTCACTTTCCCAGATCAGAGAATAAAGTCTCGTCAAGCGACTACAAGTATGTTCATTCACAGAATCTACCAGATTGTGGACTTTCACAAGATAAGCCAGACTGCGGGCGTGCATTTGTTTAAGATGAGCTTGAGTCAGAGGCATCGGAAGAAGAATCATACGGCATTTCACCAATTGTGGCAACAGAATCCTCACAAGGACTTTCAAACAGAGAGTCATGTGCAGTTCCTTCACATGTCTCGGTGTTTTCCTCAATGTCAGAAACAACGAATTCAACATCTGTAATTACAGAATCCTCCTCCTCACTAGAACTTCCAAACAGAGACTCATAAAAAGTTCTTCTCCACATCTCGGTTTTTTCCTCATTGTCAGAAACGGGAAATCTCCCTTCAGCTTTCTGTATTACAGTTTCAGCACAACTATCAATGAAGGAATAAGTAGCTGATAACATTCTTAGATAAGTTTCTCCATCTGCACTGGATTCTCTAACATCCTGAAGTTCCTGCAAGACTTTACGACTTTCCCCAGAATCTACCATATCTTGATCCTCCCTACCACCCTCAAAGTTAGTAACTGAGGGCAACTCCTCTTTTTCCCTGACAATCACTGATCTCTTATCAGTTGGCAATGAAACAGGATTAGAACATATAGCAGGAGACACAGTTGTCTTATGGCACTCAAGAGATGCAACTGTGGAATGCTGCTTGCCTTCCGCTTTGTCCTGTTTATTTAATGATTCAAGAGGATATAAGGATGTTGGCCTGGCTAAATGCCTGTAGAAAGCAAAGGCAGCAAGATTATTAGATGCCAAGATCCATTCCTCCCATCCTCTATCCAACTTTTTCAAACTTCCATACATGAAAATGATATATAAAATTAAAACTGAAAATAAAACTAAAAAGGGAAAGACAAATTCAAATATTGCAAAAATTAAAAACAAAAAATAAAGACATCACTTTATCTTAAGATTAATTTGTACAAGAAAATCATCTGTATTTTTGTCATCACTTTTTACATATGAAAATAACTTTAAAAGAGTAGCATAGGAAGACATGCATAAAATGAGCCTGTTTTGTTACACAATATAGAGGAAAAATTGAAGCTAGCTCATAAAACAAGTTGTCCATTCGCAGATTACAGATAGTTCTGTTACATAAAATATGTAAAAGGGAAAGTCCATGTTTGAGACCAGAAGAGAGATATATGTATCAAGTTGAAACCTCAGAGGAGGAATGTGTAATCCTCCTTAAGAATAATAATAACAAATTAATAAGAAGTACTATAAAATTGAACTCTCAAATTCAAAAATGCTATCGATTTACTTGAGAAAATCATGGTTAAAGAAAAATTCATTTGACTTTTTAAAGTAAAAGGGTTTAAGTTTTATTTGCGGAGGAGTAGTGAGCTTTCAGAGATCAATTAGACCATGGCTGAATGAAGATACCTGCTATATAAGAGCATGTATGCTTCCTGTGCAAGAACCTCATCAATTTTTACATCAATAACCTGAAATAAATTGTGAATTAAGACATGAAAATTAGAAAATGCGAGGACAAAGAAGGTGACAAATGCTCGATATGTATGGAATCATGAATTTCTTGTCACATGAAGCTCATGAACGTTTAAGGCTAGTCAAGCGTGAATACATACTTATTAATGACTTTGACAGAAAGAACTTTACTACTTTACCACAAGCACTTATGTAAGCAAGATGCTACCTTCAACATTATTGCAAAAATGAGACATAGGCGATCAAGTAACAAAGGGTCTCAAAGATGATGTCTATACTGTTGGAAAGGACACACAAACATACCACGCACCCCAAACATGTATGAAGGAACACAGGGTGAAGTTGAGATCTATTCATTATATTTCTGTTTTGACATATACCCGGGCAAGTTTGTCAGTTACATGCATGTTGCCAGTTGCATAGAGCCAAATGTCACATGCCGTGTCTTACCAAAACAGGATTTTTTGTTTTTGTTGCAGTTTAGACCCATCTATTAAATCATACAAGACCAAAAGGATCAGAAGGTTGCCTCTGAAGCTTCATTTTTTGACAAATAGTATACATCCTCCAGATATGAAGAGAACACCGCTATTGAATCTTGTGGGTGAACACACAAAGTAAAAAAGAGGAGATGAAGCCAGGAAACAGATGCCTCCTACCTCAGTGTCGTCGGCTCTATACCAATTCTCTCTCAAATCCTTGATGTAGCAGATATAATGGCCACAATGTAATGCATTTGACATATCCTCATGAACAATCACTGCATACAGATTGAAATGGTCATTGCCATCTCCTGTTTCACTCATGTTAGGATTTAGATCTAAACTTTCAGGAAAAGTCACCCTCTTATTTAGTTTGACAGGATCCCCACTCTGCAAAAAGATTTTAGGCCCAATTAGATTATGCTATCAGAAATCTAAAACATTCACTGATACAAGGTTTGCTGTTTAACAACAAGAAGAAAAAAAATCTAGACAGAACAAGATGGGACATGGCAACAGAGAGAAAGACACTTTTCCAAGAAAGCAAGAAAGGCTTAACATGGACTTGAGCAACCAGCACACTGCAGACCTAACTTCAGTACATCTGTAAAATCATAAATAGCTTCAGCTGGGTTCTTTTCTATGCAATGTCTATGTTTTTATGTACTATTTTAGTGTTAAAGCAGCTATAGTGCAAAGTTCCATCGTAATCCTCAGCAGAAGAGATTCTAGCTGTTATGACTTGTTGAAAAGTCATTCTAGCAATATGATTCATAACTGAAATATGGAATTTACATCACACACACTTGAATGTCATTAAATATGATGAAGAGCTTGAAAAAAACATATTAATAGTCACTTTTCACCTACGATGTAAGAGGAAGGATCAGACTGTGTTCAACAACAAAGATCTGCGATGTCGATTCCCAAAGCTATGATTAAGCAAACTGAAAGTTAAACATTCTAAATATAAAACCCCAAGCCAAATTAAGCCTAATATACCTAGATAGTATCATAGAGAGTTAAGGATGAAACTTTGTGCCTATCATTGTAGAGGAACATTAAAAATGCTGCATCCTGGAATAGTTAAGTCAATAGTGAGAGATGCATTAGGTAAGCACTTCAACCTTCAAACTATTATTTGGTGCATACAATAAAGACAAACCAAAACACTTCTGTCAGAAGTTGCCCATTCTTTATGTGATTCATGTGCCTCTTAAATGGAGAAACAGGGAGTATTTTAGTCTCTTCCATATCAAACAACTATCCTCACTTCTCGTTTCCGGACTTCAACCCTGCCAATTGGTCTCGCTGGTTTATTTATGAAACAAGCAAATCAAAGTCTCTTTTAATTTTACAGTTGGTAGTTTTGGTTGCAACTCTCTAGCCATGACAGGTTGAGAGAAAATCTATGGGTTTAGGGGGTCAAGTACTCTTAGCTTTTGATCTGCAACTTTTTTTGATCAGGAATGCAATGGCTTTTTGTACTACAAACTTTTTCCAATAGTTCTTTCTTACTACTCAGTATTTCCCTGGGAGTGAGTACTTCCCATTTCTAGTACCCAACTCCTTTGAGGTGCTTTTATGTATTAGCCATTTCCAGGTTTAGCTTTCATTAATAACCAGCAACCTACTTGCTGCTGCATCTGCGCCTTTCAATTTGGCAAATAAAAATCCATTTCACAGAAAGAGAGAAATTGATTCTGGACTGACACACAGGGGAGATGAAAATTGGACATATTCTTATGAAAATTGGACATGTATTTTTTCTTCAATCCTCTATGATGTTCTGCTTTCCTTAGGCTTGGTGCTACAAATCCTCATAAATGATTAAAATATCCCTTTGTTTTGTCACATTAATGGCACAGAACTTCATCTATGCGGAAAAAAGTGATACAGAAGGTGGTCTTTTTTTTCAATCTTTTAATGGCTAGTTATCAATAAAACTTAGTTCATAGGCCAAAGAGGTAATATAGATGAAAAGGAAATGAGATCAACCTGAAACCTTTTCAAAGCGATTGTCAGAATATTTGGTGCCTCCAGGATCGTTAGGCGCTTCCATGCCTTGACATAATCATTACATCTGCAAGAACATGTCATTCATTAGTGTTAGGCTGTTAGGTATAACAGAAAGGAAACCAAGTGAAGCTGCAACGAATAAACAAGTGAAGGAACCTTTAAAATATCATATCAGAGCAAATATAATTTCAAACAATCAATAACTGAGCAGTAGACAGTTGGAACAAACATCAAAGAGCAACTTTTAATGAAGATGCCCTGCAAGAACATGTCATTCATTACTGTTAGGTATAACAGAAAGGAAACCAAGTGAAGATGCAATGAAAAAACAAGTGAATGAACCTTTAAAATATCATATCAGAGCAAATATAATTTCAAACAATCAATAACTGAGCAGTAGACAGTTAATACAAACATCAAGAGCAACTTTTTGATGTAAGAGTGGACATCACCCAGATATTATAGGTAAGTCACACCTGCTCTCCCAAAAAGAATGTCGGTGATGCTTGAAGAAGTACTACCAACAAGAAACTTTGAAAATATTTCCCGAAAAAAATAAAAAATAAATTGAGGAAGTTCTGGCATCAAAAAAGTTCAGATTTTGCACTAGAAATTAGGTCAAATCAGGTGTGACAGAGTGAACCTGCATTTTATGTCCTAGCCACTTAGCCAGTCGTGTAATTAAAATGGATTTACATAAAAGTGAGAATAAAAGCAATGATCAGCATTGCATTGGCAGAATATACACTGGCATGTCTTCACTTGAAGGAATAACCAACTGGTATTTAAAAGTATAGACTAAGGTCACAGGTGACCCTTTGAAGAAGAAAGTCAGCATTGAAGAGAAGAAGCTACCTATCACATTTATACATATCTTCACCATCCATACACTCTTCGGCAGTGAATTGATCTAAGCATTCCTCCAAAGACTCAGCTTTCCCCTCAATCTCTACAGTCAGATCCATCATATTCTCAAACTGATTCGAGTGATTACCACATTCTGTACATACAACCTAAAAAGTAACAATAGCACATTATGCGAGAAAAGATGGAAGGGAGATTGACACTATACAGAAGTGTAAACACTGTGCAGCTTATATGTAATTTTTTTTTTAAAGCACATAATCATCAATCAACTATGCCTCAATCCCAAACCAACTCAAGGATCAGGTATGAATCTTCTGTACAAACCAACAAACAGAAATTTGTTTGGCCAATACAACAAATATCATGATAGTAATTTTTTTCAATCTGTTTCACATTGCACAATCACATTGAATAACTCTTTTCTCTCATGAATTAAAGATTACCTGAGATTGAAGGCGACCACCAAATATATGTTGAATAATAGTTGTTTCCTGAGCGCTAAGAGGTACAGCCTTATCTCCATCAAATTCAGCAAGTAACCCCGATTGCATTGTGTCAATAGCAAACCTACCAAGTAGGCAACTTTATTATGATTCAACATGTTTACTGACATACAACACAAGTAATTACATAATTGATCTTCATAAATTAGGTTTCCATGTTGTGCATTATACCAAATATACGCATCAACTCAGCTCAGACAACAACATACCTCATAAACTCATGGGCATCCTCCTGATTTCCACAAGAAAGATTACCACCAATGTTAGGCAACCCTGATAGTATGTCAATTGGTGAAAAGGGATTCTGACACCAGGTACATTGTTCAACATGGAGTTGAAATTCGCAGAGGAAGCACCAACCATTCGATCTACCTGGGTGGAAAGAGAGAATACATGATATAAGAATTATTTCCAATAATTTAAAATAAAGGGTTAGTTCATCATAATAATTTGATTTGATGCTCTACATTCTCTTTTATGGCCTTTCTCCAACAAGTAGGTGACAAGTGGTCTAGTCTGTGTTAGACATTGCAGAACCACATTAGCAAAACAGCTGCATAAGAACCAAAGAACGACATTAAGAGAACTCAAAGAATAGACTGAAAGGTAGATAATTCTTGGTCGTTAAGAGTCTATACTAGAGATACCTGTTACCACAATTTATGAGTCTACGAGGAGGATAGCCTGAACCACCCCAGTAAAAGTAATTCAAGAATTCTTCATATGGAAAAAGTTCCTGAAATAGGTTAAATCCCAACTCCGGTCAGGTCTTTAAAATACATGTTATTTGTGTTCATAGAAAGCTAATTAAGGAAGAAACATGTACCTGTATATTATTTTTTCCACTAAAAGGAACAAATGAAGTCCCAAACATGTACCTCCTTTGCAAAGTCGGTTGTGATTGCTCAGAATTACCTTTAACAGATGGTTGAAAATCCCTACATCCATACTTGTGCCCTGAGTTCCAATCGGATCTTTGGCAAGCATCAGAACTAGATAGATAAATAGGCACACAGACAGAGAGAGAAATAAAACAATTAGCCACTATCCTACACTCGAAGTCAGATTTATATAAAGAGAAGCAAAAAGATTATCGTTACTCCAAGGAAAGAAATGAAAACCAGAAGAACTAGGCAATAGCAAAAGTGGAAGAAAAGATGAAAGAGAACAATAAATCAAGACCCTGTAAGTAAAGTGAAGTAATTGGCAAGAATGCTTGTTGTGAGAGAGAGTACGCGTATCAACGATAACTTCTTTTTTTTCATAGAAGGTGATTAGAAGTTCTATTACTGAAAAAGTCAGCCAATTTTTGTACAGTGCAGGTCAGTACAAAAGTAGGGATGTATGTATATCAACAACTATATCAGTGAAGTTGCAACTCAGCTCGTCTGACATAGAGAAGCAGACATCCCAAACAAAAAGAAGCTCAAAATAGTTTATTCAGCACTAAAAAAAATCTGGAATATAAGATCTTAATGATTCCCAACATGATTTGACAAGGATAGACACACAAAAGCAAGTTTATACATCTACTTAATATGGAGAGTTTCTCTCTAGTTAAGTACTTTAAGTTGAATTTCGGTCCTCTTTGACGATGTTGTCAAATCAACACTTGAGCTCAAACTTTAATGCAAGGTGCAGTATACTGTGCCCAAGCTTCAAGTGAGGCACTTTCGTGTACACACAAACACACATTCAGACACACACACACATATATATACATAGAGAGAGAGGACGGGGTTCATGAAATTGGTAATCTTCCGCCCAATTATAGGCTAGAGATGCCTCTCATCACACTCCACTGATTGGGTAATTTAAAGAGCACTCTATCAATTTGGACTTAATTTTTTCTGTTTGACACCTTGCAAAGTGGATATTAAATGTAAAGAAAGGCATAACATGAAATCATTAGAACATGTGGCTACGAACCACAGTATTGGGGTTTTGAATCCTTCCTCACCCAGAACAAGCTTACTCCGTCTATTCTCATTATCATATATTCTACCTCTCTAAACTTCAAATACCCCTCCCACTCATTACACAAGTAATCCCCTACAATTGAGCGGCATGGATAGAACCACATCAGTTACATACATAACATTCATATGTAAAGATGGATATAGTGATCCAACTCGGAGAAAAAACATCACTACAATTTAACGCTTATAATTACCAGAAGTATAAGATTGGTAGGCAGCAGAATATAGTTAAAAAAATAAGGTTATTATTATTATTCAATATAGATGTTTTTAAGATTCTCCTCTCCCCCCCCCCCCCCCAAATCTATTTCCTTTGTAGAGGCTGTAAACTACAACAGAAGAAACCCAAAATAGAGGAATGATGACAAGAACAGCAACATTTCATCCTCAAAAGGATAAGAGCCTCAGCCACCGGATGATCAGGAAAGATTTACAAGATCCTAACATATATAAATCTTGCTAAATGGAATGAACAAAAACTATTTGCTATTCTATCACTAAGAATAGCAAGTAGTAAATCAAATAATCGGTCTATCCTTCACAGAATTAAACAATTTACCAAATTTCCCTATCAAATGCTTCATCAAACTATTACTCCATCCTTCGCAGAATTAAACAAATCTACCAAATTTACCCCACCTCACCCCCCCGCCCCATCCACCACCACCTTCAACAAGTAGATAGAACAAGACAACTAACAGAGTAATTGTAACACAATTTCTAGTTCAGTTATACCTAAATCTTGTGGCATTTCTCTACATTTACAGCTCAAATTAACCCTAGAAAAACAATCATCAAGTCTACTTAGAAACGTGTGTAACTTTCACTTCAATCAAAAACGATTACACAAACTACAAACTAAAACTTCAGTATCTTTGTATATATCGCGAATTCGAAAAGTGTGCATACCAGTAATTAACCATCTTGCAGCGGGAGCATCGTTTAGAGGTGACATTGCCGCAGACGGCGCAAGCACTCGGCATCCCCATATTCCGATCGGCGACGGCGAATTATCACCGGAATCAAAATTACCGGCGATATGTGGAGTAGTTAGTAGAGTTACTGTGAAAAAGAAGTATCGAATTGCAAATACCAAATTTATAGGCTCCTTGTTTCTAGAACTTTATAGGAACTTTCTAGAACTTTTTGGGAAATTCAAGTAACTGAATTTGGTGTTAGTTGATACTAGTAACTGAAATTCAAGTAGGTTCTTGTTAATGAGTTCTCCTTGGGTCAAAAATGCCCCTTTAAATTTTTGAAAATGACTTACGAGGGCGTTTGACCATGAAAATTGCGAGTATTTGATTTCGAGAAATTATATGAAGTTCTAATAATCATATGAAACAATCACTTGGGGTCATTTGATAGATGATTAGAGCTACGTAAGTATTAGTACAATAACATATCCATTGGAATATCATATGTGGGGGTTATTTGGCAGCTGATTAGAGCTACGCAAGTATTAGTACAATAACATATCCATTGGAATATCATAAGTGGGGCCTGAAGACATAGATCTCGTAAAGGTAGAGGGGTTGTTTCTTTTGCAAGTATTAGTAACATATGAATTAGTTATGAGTGAATGTATTATTTTATGCACGTATTAGTTATACAGGAACTGCATAAAATAAAAGTGCATAGATTTCTTCATAACTTGTACATATATTAGTTATGTAGATTTCTAAGTTGTCAACTAAACGTGTATTAATTTGTTACATGAATTACCTATTTCATATTTACCTATATAGCAAACGTCGTATAACTTATACGAGAATTAATACATGAATAAAATTTATTTCTTATCCAATTACTAAACGAGCCTTAAAAGAACAACAAATCTAGGATGTCATTAATTTTACTAACATAAAAATAGAGAGTAAAAATATTTGGGTACTGAGAGCTAGTCACACATATGAACTTGTGTTATGCTTTATAAAAACTACTCACTTTCTTCTCTTTTTTCGATGTGGATTTATTATCACTTCCTTAAAAAATTGTAATTATATTTCTAATAAAATAATTAACAATATTTGTATTAAAGAGAAGATCTGATTTTGATTTGAGACAAACTTTTATCTCATAAAATATTTCTGTTCATCTCATGTTGTGTACCAAATAATATGATAAGTTGATTATTATAATCATTGTCTTAGTAATTAAACAAATGTTCTCAAACTCATGGTGTCTAATATTAAACATAAACAGATCATATATCAAACATAAAATGCTGAAATCTCAAACAATTCAAATTTAAATAGCTAAACTTCAAGTGTCTTTCCCTTTCCAATCGACCACTTCACGCGCTGAAGTTCATACTCATACTGATCAACGAACCACCCTCCAACACTTCTTCTTGCCAAATACACTAACATCCGGCTTCTGAAAATTAGTTCGGAGAAACAAAACAAAGTAAAGTTAGTTCTCAATCACAAGTGTGTTTTTCGCAAAAAACAAATACATATGATTATCATTACGTCCTACTTACCACTCCTTTTGGATTACACGAAAGGATTTCTTCAAAACGATCCGGAATTCTTCTATCAACATGGATGTAGAAAGTTTCGATAGGAGTAACAAGGGTGAGATTTAAAACTTTAACCGTCATGAAATATTGTTCATATCCTGATATCATAAAATTTGCTTTCTCAATCTTCAAAACCTTGTACATGAAAACCTGTAATGAGATCAAGCAAATCATATATCATGCTCTACAGAATTAAGAAGAGTTATGATCATGTACACATACATTGTCCTGTTTTTCATTGTATTCCTCAATAGCACGGTTAGCTAGTTTCATCATTATCGCGAAGTCAGGATCTTCTTTGAGGTTCAGAATTCGTTCTAATGTAACTTCCCCACCGGAACAATCATAAAAGTCGAAACCCTGTCAATTTAAAGCAAGCAAACTATAATTAATTGACGAATTCAAACAAAAAGCTCTGTTATAATGGAAAGAAAGGAAGCGAACATGAGATTGACGAATCTGCTGGGTGTATCTCTCCCGAATTTGATCAATAGCAGGACGATGCTCCTTCAAAGTACCAATAGCATTCCCTGTTTTAATATTTAACCTGACTTCAGCTGAGATGTGTGTCTTCTAATTTTGGGTGTGTATAAATAGAGACGTAAACTTATATAAATTGAATAAGTAGACACACAAAAGTTTTAAATTGCAATAGAAATATAATTATCATGTTTAATGTTGAATATATTTTAAAAAGATAGAAAAAAAAGGTGAATATATAATATATTTATTTATAGGCATAAACATGACCTTTTAACTTGGTTTCAACAGACAATTATGACTTTTAACTTTGGATGTGCAGACACTTAAACTTATATAAAATTGAATAAATTGACATATTCGTCCTATATGGCAATTTTGTGTCTTATGTGACATCATACATGTATGTGAGACACGTGTGTCATGCCATGTGAGACACGTGTGTCTATTTGTTGAATTCTATATAAGTTTAAGTGTTTATTTATGCATGCACACTCAATGTTGGAGTGCATAGTTGTTCGCTGAAGTCAAGTTAAGGTCATGTTTATGTATTATTTGTCAGCATTATCAAACTTATTAAAACGCCGTCTAGCTAGCATCACACGTACTATGTATTAGCCCTTATACACTGTTTACAATGTCGCGCCTTGACTTCAATTGCTTGGTATATTAGCTGATAAGTAAACATTCCAACTTTGAGAGTACACATCTAAATACATATATTTGGTCTCAGTGGACAACTAAACAATCCAACTCGTCCTCACTGTGTCTTGTACTAGATACCCAATGCTGACGTGAAACATAAGTATTTAAGGTGTTTAGATGCTCATTTGTAAGTTGAAGTGTTCAACTGATACAGTGGAGACGAATTGAGAGTATATCATGCATACTCAAAATTAAACTGTATTTAAAACCATATTTTTTTGTTGTTTATCCTATAATTCTGGAAAAAGAGATTCATAATTTTCGATTAAAAACAACCAAAGGATGCCAAATGTTTGGTTTTGGTTTCTCATTTTATAATATTTAGCCAATTGTCATTCCAATAATCAACTTTACAAATATTATTAAGAAGAAGAAAAAAATCAAAGTAGAGGAAATTGAAAAAAAGAATTTTTTTTTTCTTTTCTACAATTAGAACAAATAGATATGAAAAATCGAAGCAAAGGAAAAATTTCACCTCTATGTATTTTTATTTTATGTTTCTTCAGCTTTGCTCTTGGAATGTTTTTCTCTAAAAGGTATAAAAAAAATTAATTTTTTTTACTGTTTAATTTGTTATTTTCTGGATAAAATTCTGAGGAGGGGTTTTTTGATTGAGTTTTGTGCTTATTTGTTTGAGTTTGTTGAAGAAATTATCAAAAAAAAAAAGGCAATTTTCTGATTCGTAAATACGTGCATGTCTTTTTTTAAAGTATAAATGTCGTGTCTGAGCCAACTTGCTTCCATCTAAACTAATTTCTTGAGATACCTGTTATCGACAATAGGTATCAGGTAACTCTGTTCACTAAGACACTTGTGTTGAATCCACACATTGGTCTAGGCTTGGATCATTTATCGTTTATGTGACTTATGAGTTAGATTTTGGGATTGAATTAGGCTCGAGGTTCATTTTCGTATCAATTTGTTATTCAATGATTGAACCATTTTTTATGTGTTTATCTTTGTATCTGTTAGAATTTGGGCTCCAACTGAATCAGTTGGAGAGATCGCGTTTCCAAGGCGGTACAATCAAGAGAAAAAATTCAGTTGTGATGACTGTGAAACCAAAAAGATCCAGGTTCGAGCTTTTTCTATTCTTTTATTAACTGATTTATGTATCGGATTTCATTCACCTCATTGTTTGGGGCTGAACGACTGGCTAGCTCTATCTATAAAGATTTTGGATTTGTCGAAACAAGAACTTAACATGAGAGTTAGGCAATCCTCTATGTAATATGTCATTTAATACAAGCGGACACACAAATGTACTCCCTATGTTTCAATTTATCTGTCTTAGTTTGACGAGAACAAAGTTTAAGAAAGTAAGAAGATTTTTTCCTATTTTTACCAGGAGGAGGATATGTTGGGCGAGTTTAGCAAAGCCCATGAAGCTATTAGGTGAGTTTCGTATCGTAAATAAGAAGTTTAGAGCTTCATTCCTTATGTTTTTCACATTTGAACCAAACTAAAATTTCGACAACAATGAAGAAGTGTGAGATTCATACAACGGACCCCAACTTGTTTGATACTGAGGCGTAGTTGTTGTTATTGTATTTTCATAATCTTGTTCTCGTGATGTGTGTCAGGTCATTAGATAGTTCAATTGCTAAGATCAGATTTGAAATGCCTTCAACTAAGACGTTCCTTGGTACGAAGGAAATGGAAGACTTACCTACCATGATCACCGCGGATACTGAAAGAATTGGGATAAGAAGGAAGCCTTTTGTGGTAATTGGAATAAACACCGCGTTCAGTGGCAGAAGGAGACGTGATTCCATTAGAGAAACTTGGATGCCTCAAGGTATGTAACATATTTATACTTTGTATTTTCAGTTTTCAGGTTGCATCCTCCTTTAACGATACGTGTATATTAGGTGAAAAATTACTCCGATTAGAGCAAGAAAAAGGGATCGTTGTTCGCTTCATGATAGGCCACAGGTGAATATTTCTTTCCAATGTTGTATTCTAAAGTTTTCATTTTGAAATGATTCGATATATCCAAAGAGAACTCTAGTTCTCTCATACTCGATCAGACTCTTCAAAAATACTGTAGGATGTATGTCGGATTCTCCAAATTTGGAGTCTCCGAGCAACAATATAGCTCAGAATGACATATCATTTTGCCTTTCTAGTCGAATCATTGGTGATGGTATTTCAAGTGATCATTTTTACGCGAAAAAAGAATGACATATCGAACAATTTGGGCATATTCTAGCCTAAAAGTTTGTCTATCTTTTTTATACAGTGCTATATCTAATAGCATTTTAGATCGAGCCGTTGATCTTGAAGATACTCAGCATAAAGACATTCTTCGCTTAGTAAGCACATACATTACAATTCGATCTGCATTTTGTATATACGGTTGAATTATGCTTATACTGTCATCTCGGATTTGCTATTTTTTACAGGATCACATAGAAGGATACCATGAGTTATCTGCAAAAACAAAAGATTTTTTCGCT